TCTTTCTTGAACTGGGGAGCCCAGAACTGTTATCTTCTTTCCTATTTAAAAAAATACCTTAATGAGTTAAGTGGTACTTTTAAATCTCATTTAAAAGTGTAGTTTTACAGTGGACATTAAGCACCACCAGCAGCAGACGTGTGTCTCCACCTGCAGGACTAGCCACCGGTAACTGGGCAGCACTAGAACACAGCGGTCCCTCACGATCCCACCGCACAATCCGGCGCCCCGCTCCTGTCTGTAGCCAGGGTGATGGCAGGGCAGCTCCAAGATGTGCAAGCACAGCCCAGATCAAGCCTTCCAGTCAATCCAGCTTACAAGCTGTTCACTTCTACCCAAAGCTATACGTGCCTGTAGACATCCAGTCACTAAAATGATTCGTGATAAGCTGAACAAAACAGCAGCCAACAAAGCTGGAGAGAAAACTAGAGCTCTCCAGACAAGTTGGTAGATCTGCACCAAACTCCAGAGACGAAAGTCTCTGAGGGAGTCAGCAAGGACACGGCAAACCCCACATGCCTGCTCATCTCGCTGCCAAAGAGGAGCCAAACCAGAGTTAAGCAGAAAGGGGTTACACGGAGTGATTTCACTTCATCGGGACTTGCCACCAGATACACTTTGACCTTCCACAGCAATGAAAAAACAATTTGCAACTGTCAAAGTTTCAGGTAAGGGACTTGACACGAGTGTCTGCTGAATGCTCTGGAAAACAGCTCAGTTGAAACCAAGCTCGAAGACCTTCTTAGCACGGCAGTGTGTAGAACAACCAGCGCCAAGAGCTGTGGCACTGTCGTGTGCCAGCCCACCGTCCAACGAAAGGCTCCTCTTCTGCTACCACCATGGTCAGCAACGCGCTCAGAGTGCATGACTCGCATGAAAACTGACCACCAGAAGGTGTGATACAACGCTACGGATTCAGCCGCAGCACCAAGAGCCAACAAACCTCCGTTCGCTTTATCGTAGCTACAGCGTTAGCAAGGCAGCATCCCCTGCCTGCTCCAACACACAGAGTTAGCATGAGATGTTCTGCTCTGGTATTTTTGCTCACTCAACCCTGTGCATCCCAAGCAAAGGCATTTCCATGTAGTGAGAGCAGGAAAACAAATATCTAAAGCTAAAGTTAGTCCTAAGTTCCTTCACGCAGTGTCAAGAGTCAACAATCCTGCGGTACGCAGATGCGGAATGACCCGTCACACTCTCCTCACCCACCGTTTCCATCTCCTTCTGGAGGTGAACTCAAGGTTTCTTACGAGTGGGAAGAAAACGGCTAGGGAACCTCATCTGCAGGAATCTCTGCATTTTGACGGACAGCCTACCGATTTTCTCCGGCTCGTCCGGACCTGTTCCGGCAATGCAGCTGCTCTCCAGTCCATAGGTTGGATCCACCTTCCCAGAGGCTCTTGCTGCTTCCTGCACCTTCTTCACGTGAGCTTCGACAAGCTCCAGCGGCACCTCCTCTCTGACTCGAGAAAACTCCTCTGTTAAAAATCATACAGAAAACGTCACATTGTCAGGGTTTTAGGGCAAATGAAGAGTTACGATTTTCTCCGATCACCGTGTAGGTAAATCTTGTGAGAAAGTGAACTTGTCAGGGTTTTAGGGCAAATGAAGAGTTGTGATTTTCTCCAATCACCGTGCAGGTAAATCTTGTGAGAAAGTGAATTGGCAAATACAGAAGCTCCTTTTCACCTCAGGTAGTTCATTTTCTCTCTCCAGTGTGTTAGGAGTCTCTTCCCAATTATATAAAACTGTCTTTTTTGTGGAAAAACAACGAAAAAAGTGAACGGAACTAGATCGTCCAGTTTCTTAGAGGACACCCATCACTATGGCCAATAATTTCACACAAGCAAAACCAGAAAACTGGAATTTTAGCGCTGTGCACGTAGCCACAGCTGAACTAATGACACCAGCTACCAGGCAGCGTGTGCCAACACTACCAACAGTCAATGAGTGCTGAAGGGGAACGTAAGCTGTCTTTCCACATTCAGTGGCCTTTAAGAGCTACTCTAACATGCCTGTAATTCGGCAGTTTTGGTAACAGAACACAAAACTGGGTATCAGTAGGCCTGTTTTCTACATCCACGTAAATCTGGTTTTACAACTTCTTACCAGTAGGAAACTCTACAAACAGTCGATATCAAAAGCAGACTAACAGAGTAAAGCTGTAGGGAGGAGGTGAGAAACGCAGCTGCGGCGAACCCATACCTAAGGCAGCCTTCGCTGCGGCTGACGCCACGCGGGGATCCACCACCGACGCCAGAAACGCGACGGTACTCATCACCGGGTTGCCGGACTGGCTGAAGGGGACGGGCTGGTACGCCAGCGGGCCCAGAGACGCGTCCGAGTTCTCCAAGTAGGGGTCTTCGATCGGGAGGCGCAGAAAATGCAGAATGCACTCGTCCTGGGTGCGGCTCCCAACGTGCTCCGAGACTTTGTTCCAGTCGTCTTTGTACATCTCCAGAGCCTGGAAAAGATGAAAATCATTGTACATACATTGACTGCTCTGGGGAAAAAAAAAACCACCCTACTTTATGCAAAAAGATTTTCACTGCTAGTTGTTTTGGCGATGGAACAATAAATCGGGAGCAGACAACTATCCAAAACTGGTAGCAAAATTCTTCTGCAGCAGAAATACGAACATCTCACAGAATCACAGAATAGTAGGGGTTGGAAGGGACCTCTGTGGGTCATCTAGTCCAACCCCCCTGCCGAAGCAGGGTCACCTACAGCAGGCTGCACAGGATCTTGTCCAGGCGGGGCTTGAATATCTCCAGAGAAGGAGACTCCACAACCTCCCTGGGCAGCCTGTTCCAGGGCTCCGTCACCCTCAGAGGGAAGAAGTTCTTCCTCGTGTTCAGACAGAACATGATGTCTTGTCTCAGCAAGACATCAGTTACATTTAGACTGCGGGGATCATCACAGGAGTTTTATGCTATTACTGAATAACTTGCTGGAAGATTTGGGATTTACTCATCACATTTGCATGGTTAGTTTTTCCCCAGTTTGCTTTCCCACCTGCAAAGCTTCACTGAGAAATAAGTTTGCTGACCCTGCCAAGTCTCACCAGCTCTTTGAATTCCCCAGCGACTCGCCCTGCGGGCACTGCTCTGTTCTCTCACTCACGCTCTTCGGGGCAGGAACAGTCTTTCTCTCACACGTACATACTACTTGTGCTGGTGAAATCCAGTTTTTAGATCAAAAAGATGTTATGAAAATGAAAGAGCATCACACCAATATATGAGGGGAATAAAGAGGAAAATACATTCTATATCTTGAAGATCGGTTCTCTGGCAACTGCTGACCAGTCTGATTTTTGTTAAGTGTCCAGGTTAACCAATCATTCTTATGTAGATAAGCCACCTGATAAAGTAAAAACTTCCAGCGTAAATCGAAGGTTTTGGAATTCAGAATTTCAGTCACTTTTACCGTTACTCAAGAAAAGCCTTAACAAAATAATCTAACGGCAATGAGGTACTGCAGTCAGAATAAAATCACAGAATCAGCTGGAAAAGACCTTAAAGATCATAAAGCCCAACCGTCTCTGTACTACTTTTTTTAAAAGCTAACAAGTTAGTACTGTAAAAACCCAAAGTGACAGCCTAATAGAATATATCTTTAGAAGCTTTTTTTTTTTTCCTTCCCCCTGGGTCTCTAAGCATGTGGACAGCACACAGTAAGCGCTGACGCATCCTGAACGGCTAAATTCCTCGTTACTGAGATCATTAATGGCCTGGTCACCCCAGAAAACCAAGCAGCTTGCCTTCTCAGCCAAATAGAACCAACTTCAAAATGAAAATGGCATCGACCAGAAGCCTTCTGAAAATAATACTACTCCAGGTCTGAGCAAGGGTGGCAAACCCCTTCCTATTTACCCGTTTGAGCTGCAGATCCCATCCGCATTTTGAAGTTTAACCTATCTGGCCCAGCAGTCAAGCTGGCTTTTTATTTACTCCATACTTCCCCTACAAGGAACACCAGGACAGCCAGCTTCTGCACTGCTCACAGCAAGCCAGCAGCCGTTCCAGCAGCACCCGGGGGCAGGGGATGACCAGCGTCTGAAGTCAGTATTGCTGGGCTGGCTGGCCTACGCCGGCCCCTCCCTTAGCTGCTGCCCATCACACGGGCTACCTTGGCCTTCACAGCACCCGTCTGCAGGTATAAAATATTTCATAAGATACAGAAATCCTCCTCCTCCCCACCTAACCACTCATGGCAACTGAGTTTCCCCAGCTGAGCAGTATGTCCATTTAAGCGTGAACATGAAGAAAGAATGAAGTTAACGGTTTTTCAACACTTCAAATCTTCCCCACAAGGCTGAGAACCACCAGAAATCTCAACCTTGAGGGTAACATGCAAGACTGGCTGAACTTCCCCCACCTTCACAGCAGGAAGGCAGAATTCCGAGCTGGGCTGCATCCGTCGGACAGCACAAGGAGGATGCACCCAACGCGCCTGGGCAGCACACACAGTTAACACGGTGGGTGCTTCTGCAGAGTTACTGGTGACAAGGAGAAGAGAGAGATGGTCTCCTGGGGTGCATTCAGAGGAGTGTGGGCAGCAGGGCGAGGGAGGGTCTCCTCCCCCTCTGCTCTGCCCCAGTGAGGCCCCATCTGCAGTGCTGTGTCCAGTGCTGGGCTCCCCACTTCAAGAAAGATGAGGAGCTACTGGAGAGAGCCCAGCGCAGGGCT